ACATTCACTTTTCTCGTGCTTCTGTTCCATTAATATTAACAAGTCCTCAGATATTGGGATAACATGGACTAATGTGGCTAATGATGAGCCATGTGAATTGAGCTCCCCAGGCCATAAAGATAAACAATCATCCTGTGCCCTTTAGCCTTCGTATTGCCAGTTCCAGTTCAGCAGGCTCCATACATGTGTCTCCTTCTCCCATGGTCATCTGTAACAGAAAGTCTATGCCCTATTCTGTCTTCCTGCAAATCCTTAGGAAGGAGCCTCAGCCTTCATCGATCATCAGTCAGGGAAAGAGCAGTGGACTCACACTCCTCAGTCGTGCTCCAGCAGAGACCCAGCAGAGGCCCATTAGTGCATGGGAGACAGTGAATGCAAGAGGGACTGGGGAGCATCACTTCCTCATCATCAGGATAAGCAGGATGGTTGGGATAGCCAGATAGGAGGCCCCAAAATTCAAAGTTTCAGCTCAGAGGCCTGTGAAGTTTTTGTTCTTGGTTCTGGTGGAGCTTCCAGAACTCTCATCCAGAGTTCTGATTTTTTCTTCACCACTGGATCTAGCTCTGGAGGCATCCCTCCCACAATAGCAGGAAATGGGTCCCTCTAAACTGTCCCCCAAGCAACTGAGAATGATAATGAAGATGATAATGATAATTTTGATGATGAGAACGATGACAGTAACCATGATATCATGAATCTTTATTAAGTACTTCCTAAGTGCCAGGCTCTGAGCTAAGTGTTCTTTGTAGCTTGTTTCATTTCATCTCCATAATCGCTCTTAATATATTGTTGCATGTATTATTGTTATTTTACAGATGAGGAAGGAGCACAACTTTTTATATAATTTGTACTAGGTCATGGGCTAGAATGTGGTGAAGCCTTTTTGAATCTGGGCAGTCTGACTCTAGACACAGAGCATTTGACCATTATTCTCCCCTGCCAACCTAACCTGCCATTTAGTGTTTCTTTTTACTCCAGTGAGGAACCCCCTGCTTACCATGCTCTTTTCTTTGGGGGTCCTTGGTAGACCGCCTCAGCAGAGAGGAAGAGGTGCCCTTTGCTGCATCAACTATAGGAAGGTTATCTGAGATCACAGGCAGGGATCACAGAAGTTGTTGGCAGATAATAATTTAGGACAGACCCTTCTCTTGGCCCTACTCCTAGATTTTGCCTCAGCTGTCTGCTTCCTCTTCCATTCTTACAATTTAGCCCACCTCGATCTTAAAGAGAGACATAACATCAAAGTCTCAGTTTCCATTCCTACTCAGGAAACTGGAAACAGATAAAAGATATACCCTAGTTAGATGAATCTTTGAGTAAGCTCTCTAGACCTCTGCTTTAAGCTTTCTGAAGCGTAGAGAAGCACAGTGAAGAAGTTTAATGCCTGGGTCTCAGAGATCGATGGTTTAATTTTGAATACTGTCTGTAGTACTTATTTGTGTGACATGGGCAAGTTCTTAGTACCTCTAAGCCTTCATTTTTTGTATGAATTGATCCTTAGTTGATACAGTTGCATTGAGTAAGGATTAAACAGATAATGGGTATTTCATATGTGATTCAATAAGTGGTGGATACATACAGTCAGGGCAAAAATATATTTTAGACATTATTAATATTGATAAGACTAAGCTTCATATCATTTGACTAAAATATTCTGTGATTTGAAGGTTTGGTTTTCAATGGATCCCTGACAAAAAATTTTATTTTTGCCCTTATACAAGTAGATACTTGCATCTACTTGAGTACTTGAGGGAAACAACTGATTCTCACTCCTTTGTGATTTCCCCAGAGCCTATACTGTAATTGTCGCCAAGTAGGTAACACAAAAACAACAATAAAAGTCTGTGTTAAATTTGAATAGACCCTTCATTGGTTTGCAGGATCCGGGCATAGTCAGTATGCTTTCCACACACTGAGTGCTTTCCTGCCTGTGCTTTCACCTTTTCCAGAGATGTCCCATAGGACTTGAGACAAGATAAAATAGCACTTGTTTGTTTCTATACCATGGACTTTTATGGGACCTATTATTTTCCATTTAATAGGATCTACAATATTTAATTATTCAAGAAATTTGTTGAGATTTAAAAAATATGAAAAAAGAGGTAGAAAGAGAAGGGGCAGGTAAATCTTACTGTGTGAACTAAGACACATTTTAGGATTTCTAGTCAGTCCATGCTCCAGTGCCCTTAGACAAGAGAGACTTAGATTTCTCTGCCATATAGTTGAATAAAATGTCATTAAACTTTTGTTAGGATTGTATTTCATCACTAAACCCACTATTACAATAATGGTCAAATAATCATTAAAAACAGTAACCAGACATTAAGTTCCAAACCTCCCATAGGTTTCACACATGTCCTAGAGATGAGTGTTATTCTCCCCACTTCCAGATAAGAAATACCAGCACAGACAGGTAGAGAAATTTAAACACACTGTGTATGTAGTAGGTGAAAGATGTAAAACTTAGACCTTTGTCTTCTGACTCCTGTCTTGGGACTCTGTCCCCTCCATCAGAGCTGAATGAGTATTTTTCTTTGCAAAACTGTTATGTCCCAGATGATCAAACAGAGGCAAAGTTGTAGGTTTCTTCTTTTGTGACTCAGTGAGTTCATCTGTGAATTTATGAATAAACCAGTGGTTTATAGGGGGCTTTGGGGCATGAATGTTGAGGATTATAGGGTTTTCTATGAATAGTAACACATTTTAACACACAGGTTGGAAATATACGATATTTAAACTTTCCCTATACAAGATGAACATTTCATTTGGGGCTATCATGGAATGACTATTACTAGACAGAATTCAGGGATTTTTTAAATTATATACCTTAGAAAGAAGAGGATGTAGCTGATGGTAACTGATTTTCTATTTTCAATTAATGGTAAAAATGAACATGTATCTATTGTTATAACAAAAAAATTATTTATGCATGTATCTTATAGAAATTCTCACTTGTGTGAATGAAGAGAGGCATAAGAGTTTTATAAGATTATCATAACAAGAGATTGATAAAATGAAGTCCATTCCTTAGTTAATACTATGCATCAGTTAAACTAGATTTTAACTAGATGTATGTACTTCACAGAGACTTAAAACACAGTGTTGTGGTAAATGACAACATTTTGGGGGGCATATGTCAAGTATGATCCTATTTAGATAAATCTTCAAAAAACTGTTTATGTTTATACATAAATCAGTACTACTGTTATGAAAACACTGACAGGAAAATATACCACCAAATTCATACCAGTGGTTGTCCTTGGGGAACAACTGTGTAGAGGAATAGGTTCATGCAGGGATATCAAGAAAATTCACATCTTAACTATATTTCAAATTTCTATAAAATTATTCTGAAACTAGTATTAATTTTTATATTTTTAAGATTGGGGTATTAATGATCATATGTAATATTAATGGAGCATTTACTAAGTGCTTGGCCATATCCTATGGCAATGTTTCTCAAAATAGGCTGTACATTAGGAGAAGCGAGAACCTCACATGTAGAGATTATTATTCAATTGTTTTCTAGGCCGTGGCTAAGGGCATCAGTGTATTTTAAAATACCTGCAGGTGATTGTAATGATCAAAAAGGATTGAGAAGCACTAGTCTAAGCACTTTGAATGTTTTATTTTAATTTCTTGCAACAACTCTATAAGGTAGATTTAATTATTATACCCATTTTAAAATGAGCAAATTGCTCAGGTTTTTGCTATATATTCTCTGTTCTTTTCAGTTTTGCATTTTCCCCCCAAATTAAGTCATATTCTCACCTGAGAAGAGAAATGAAGACCCCAGTTGCCTTCAGGGAGCTGAATTTAGGAGAATTGTAATCCCCCTAACAGGAAGGATTGACTATAAAAGCTCTTTAGTAGGCATGAGAAGGCTGGGTTTCAAACCTGGCTTTGGGATCTCCTCTGGTCCTGAATTCCTCAATTGTAAATAAGAGGGTTGGATACGATGAGGAAACAATGCTTCCTAAATGTTTAATATTAGAAACACATTTAAGAACATGATGAACAAAATAAATGTCACTGAATTGTACATGTGAATAGTGTTGAAGTGGCAAATGTTTTGTTACATATGTATCTTCCACAATAAGTGAAGAAACATTAAAGCACTTTTACCAACCCACTACAAAATGGCAACCAAAACAAACAAAAAAAGCAGTCTCAAGCACCAGTTGTTTCCCTGAGATTGTGTAGGATTGATTTAAATAATCCTGCATGAAATGAAAAATAGGAGCCCTGTATTTCTTAAAAGTTATTGTTTAATCATTGACAGGTGCATTGTACCCTAATGCCATCTTCAGGGTCAGCAGTGTTGTGTGATTTTGTACATTTAACTAAAACATATTTATCAAGATTTAAAGTATGTATACCAAAACCAAAGGTTGAGAGTTATATTTGAAAAGACTTTAAAAAGACATCTCACATATTTGAGTGAGCATATTTCTATGAAGGAGGGAAGTCATAAAATCAAAGAATGATAAAAACCTATGAAGATAGCTAGCATGTAAAAATGCTTTCTGATTATGAACATTTGACTTTAATTTAGAATCCAGGTAATGTTGTTCTAACTCTTACAGAGTGTAAATATTCTAAATCAAGGGAGTTTCTAACTGTATTTGAATAAAATAAGGTTCCTTTAATGAGTATGATTTTTTTTTCTTAAAAGGAGAAGGATGTTTCTTAATGCATTTGCTTTGTTCAGAAGGAGAGGACTGTATTTTACTGTGTTCATTGATTTGTACTCTCTATGTGTACTAGCTCCTGCAATATTCTTCAGCCCTGTACATCTAAAGTTGGTGACTAGCACAGACACTAATGAGGAAAGAGTGCTAAGAATGTGTTTGCCACAACTGAGAAATATTGCTAAAGAGACTGGTGTGTATGGTCCTCAAGTGTGAACACTTATGAATTTCTTGAATTCAAAATAAGGACAGAGTGCCAAGTGCTTGTTGGTTTGTTTCCTCTTTTCCAACCGTCTTTTCTTTTCTAAAAGTTGTCTCAGTCACATGGAACCACAGAATCTAACACATGTCTCAGAATTCCTCCTTCTGGGCCTCTCAGAGGATCCGGGACTGCAGCCTCTCCTCTTTGGAATCTTCCTGACCATGTACCTGGTCACTGTGCTCGGGAACCTGTTCATCATCATGACTGTCAGCTGTGACCCCCACCTCTACACCCCCATGTACTTCTTCCTCTCCAACCTGTCTTTGGCTGACATTGGCTTTACTTCCACCACAGTCCCAAAGGTGATTATAGACATCCAAACTCACAGCAGAGTCATCTCTTATGCAGGATGCTTGACTCAGATGTCCTTTTTTATGCTTTTTGGATGTTTGGACAGTCTGCTCCTGACTTCGATGGCCTATGACCGGTTTCTGGACATTTGTCACTCCCTGCACTATCGGGTCATCATGAATCCCCACCTATGTGGCTTGCTGGTTTTGGTGTCCATTTTCATCAGCCTTTTGGTCTCCCACCTGCACAATTCAGTGGTGTTACAAGTTACCTACTTCAGGGATGTGGAAATTGCTCATTACTTCTGTGACCCTTCTCAACTGCTCAACCTTGCCTGTTCTGACACATTCACCAATAACATAATAATGTATATTATTGGTGCCATGTCTGGTTTTCTCCCAATTTCAGGGGTCCTTTTCTCTTATTCTAAAATTGTTTCCTCCATTTTGAAATTTCCATCATCAGTTGGGAAGTACAAAGCCTTTTCTGCTTGTGGCTCTCACCTGTCAGTTGTTGGCTTATGTTATGGAACAGGCCTTGGAGTGTACCTTAGTTCAGCTGTCTCATCTTCCTCCAGAAAAGGTGCCGTGGCCTCGGTGATATACACTGTGATCACCCCCATGCTGAACCCCTTCATTTACAGCCTGAGGAACAGGGTCATCAAGAAAGCCCTGTGGAGGCTTCTCAGCAGAGCAGCCTAATCTCAATACCTGTGCCATTTTTTGTTGTGCAGGTTGGAAAAGGCAGCAAAACCAACTAGAACTGCAAATCTTGTGTATCAGGTCACATCATTTTTGTAGCTCTCACGGCTTTCATTCTCTATATTTCATATCTGAATATTTCTTCTTTTGGTATGTTTTTAATGGGATTGAGGGAGAATTCTGGGATCCTTTGTGCATCATAATCACTGCATGACTGAAGCCTATTATACCTATGAAGCCTTCTGTAGTTTCTCATCAATGACCCAGGTATCCTGGAGAAATGTACAACTCCCTTTTTATATACTTAAAATGTACATCAATTTCTAGGGCTTACGTGTATTTTCCATACAACTTTTGTATCTATCAGATCTATTTATGCAAGTTATGTGTGAGAATGTATGTCATTGATCCTCAGTCTTGGCTTTTATTGTAATTATCTGGAAGCTTTAAAAATACCGATGGCAGGGTCCCACCACCAGAGATTCTGATAACTGGACTAGGGTGGCTTGAGCCTGAACATTTAAAAAAGCATCTCAGGAAGCTCTACTGTGCAGCCAAAGTTGAGAACTACTGACCGAAGTCAGATCTTTTGTTTAAAGATGACTAGTATGTCTTGAGTCCTTTACTGCTCATGAGCAGATAGAGAACCTAAAGAGATTAGAGTTCAAATGGGAAAGATAAGAAAGAACCTACTCTAGCAAAGGTAAAGGATTTTCTCCAATACTCTGGATAATATTTCTCCACATATATTTTCCCCCACACCATTGTTTTCATTGTTGTTGTTGCCATAGAGTTGGACTGCAACTCATGACAACCTTATGTAGGACAGAACAAAACATTTTCTAGTCCTGCACCATCTTCATGATGTTATGTTTGAGTCCATTGTTGCAGCTATTGTGTCAATCCATCTCACTGAGGCTTTCCCTTGTTTTTGTTGGCCCTCTATTTTGTGAAATATGATTTTTTTCTAGCAATTGTTCTTTCCTAATGACACATCCAAAATAAGAAAGTCTAAGACTCACCATCCTCACTTCTAAGGAAGAGTCTGGTTATATTTCTTCTAGGACTGATTTGCTCATTATCCATATCATACAGCTGGTCCTATAAGCTGATTTTTAAGCTATTGTCTCTCTATTCCAATTTTGCCTTCTATAGATTACTTTGTAATTAAGAGTAGGGCTCTTGAAATCACTGATTTATCTGACTTTCTTTCAATAGTGGTCAGTAATGGTCACTATGCCTTAAAAAACCCAACGTTTCCCTTTATACACCTTAGCCCTTGGCATAGTAGCTACATCTTGCAGTCATTATCTCTGTGTCACCACATTGTTAATTTTATGCCTGTCATTCCTTCATAACTATTTAATCAATTCTCTAATTATCTTCATTTCAATAACTGGTGTGCTTTTTCTTTTCTTGACTGAACCCTGACTGACAAATTGTGACATGAAGCATAAAGGTATGTTGCAAGGTGTCTGAAATTGGAACATTGCCAAATGTGCTCAGGAAAGAAACATGGTTGTAAATGATATCTTGTTTATGGTTGTCCAATTGAGATTTAAGTGGTAGTGTATTTCCAGTTGCTGTGTGGCTCTGATGGTGCCTAAACATCATCATGAAGTCATCATAAATAAATGGAATTTTATTTTCTTTTGCATTAGTCTAGGATATCAAAGGGCCATGCCATCAGCAAAGGTGGGCTCTTTCCTTGCCCTAACAACAGTCTTGTTAGGACTTCACTTTGTAGTCATGCTTCCCTGTCTTCTTCCGTGATGAATCAGATTTTAAGATCTTTTTTGCTTCCATAGAATAGGTATCCATCTCTCATTTAGATATATTGTGCAACATTTCTATACATGTTGGCTCTCTGAGAAGCTGTCCAGTAACTAGTTTAATTTACTCTGACTTTTACCACTAAGGTAAATCACCTACAAACTACACTAATGAGGAGTTGGTGAAAGAAATGCATTTGACAGAAGATGAAGTCAGTGAGAAGAGACATGTTATTGTTATTGTTGTTAGGTACGGTTGAGTCAATTTTGACTCACACCAACCCCATGAGATAAAGTAGAAATAACACATTAAAATTGCTAAATTATTAAATTACTAAATTTTTGTATCCATTTATATAAACCTATCCACTTTTGGCAAAAACAAAACAGAACAAAACAAAACCCCTTGGTAAGTGTCAAATAATATTACCTTTTGACATCAATCACATGGCAGACTTTCCCCAGAGGTAACGCTTTATTTTACTTCTTTTAATTTCAAGATTTAGAAAGAGTGCTAATGACTGATTAACACTACCCATGAGGAAAAGACTGAAAGGAAATATGCCAGGAGGTTTATAGTAGCTATCTAAGAGTGTTGTGAAAACCCATGATATGGAGAGAGAATATAGATAATAGAAAGGGTGTGGAATTTGAGGACACAACTTCACACAGATCTCTGCTAAAAAAAAAAAAAAAAAAAAAGACCTCTGGCAACTTGATGCTCCTCTCTGTGCCTCAGATTTCTCAGCAGCAAATTAAGTGTAATTGTACTTATTTTCTAAGGCCTTGTAATGATTATATATAATTTTTTTAAGAACCAGTAAAATGATAGTTTCCCATCAAATGGTGGCTTTTATTATCACTTTTAAGAAGTTCATTTTAAATGAGCATTCCAAGAACTCAAAAGTAACATATTATAAACTGTGTGACCTTGGGTATGTTATAAAACATCTACTTAACCTCCTCATCTGTATAGTTGTGGTAACAAAAGCACTTAACTGAGATGTGATTGAAGAGATATAATAAAATGTACTTATTATAAAAGTGTTTAGTTCACAGTAATGGGTCAATAAGTGTAAACTTTCACAATCATCATATTAATAGGCTAGTATAGTGGTCCAACTAATGGGCTATACAGGCAAAAAGATTGATTTTTAAACATCTCCTCTAACTTGTTATCTGTGTGGACTGGGACATGTTCTTTAATTCTCAAGCCTCTGTTTCTTTATGATACTTGCTTACAGCACTGTAGAATTAAACAGATAATGCTTGCATATGTTAAATACAGATATCTTCATTGTCATCATATAGTCTAAGGCTGGTGCCATTCAAATAAATTATTGGAACTCCAATTGTGCTTTACCCTGGATACCTGACAGACAATTATGATTTTTAGGTTTATACAATGAGACCTGGATCAGGTCAAGGGCAGGGAGTTAATATCATTGATATATGTATACTCAAAATCTAGCACAGTGAGGACAGAGACTAGATACATCTCTACTTTGTATAATGTTGAGTAAATTGTTCACTATCTGTCATTAAAAAGTGAAGACAATTTGACATCCATACATCCAATATTTTCATTCCTCCCTGGCGAACTTACACCTTCTATAAGATCTCTAAGAACTCCTGAAAGAAGATATGTGTTGTTTGTTTAAATTTTCATAAACATTCAATGGGATCTATTTGTCTCTATCTAATAGTAACTGGGAAAACCTGGTGGCATAGTGGTTAAGAGTTCGTCTGGTAACTAAAAGGTCAGCAATTCGAATCCACCAGATGCTCCTTGGAAACTCTGTGGGGCAGTTCTATTCTGTCCCATAGGGTAGCTATGAGTTGGAATCGACTCGACAGCAACGGGTTTGGTTTTTGGTTTTTAATAGTAACTGCAGGATTAAGACTCATAGAATAAAGGGAGAGTTTTGAAAAGTTCTACAAATAATATTAAGGACAGAAAATTCTCAATTGGGCATCTAAAAACTAAATGCAAGATGGTGGTCTGTCTATTTTCTTCAAGGACACTCATGTGAGAGGGTTTTAGGAAAAGCACAAAGCAAATCACTTGTTTTAGTGCACAAATATAACTATGTTTGACTTCTATACCTCATATCTCTATACTTATCTTTAGCAATGACCATAGTATCTGATCCTGTCTACCCATTATGAAATTATTTCAGTTTAAAATTAAACTATTGCTAGTGTCCAAGCATTTCTAAAAGGTCTCAACACCCCAACACCCAGGCTCTCCCTCTCCAATCCACCTTTACATATCTGCCATTTGGTCATTTGATCTCTCCAAATTTCCCCTCTGCCATTTATACAAATGCAAGTAAATAGCATCCTTTCGTCCATATCCAATTTAATTGGATATGCTCAACTTTTCTTCCTATCAGTTAATGACAAACCAATCTCACCGTTCCTCACATGAGCCAGAAAGGCTGCATATATAAGATGTGAGAAGTGCAATAAATCATTATTTTCATAAATCCCACTTTATCTCCTAGGAAAAAACACAGGGCAAAAGCACATTTTATTTATGACTTCAAGAGTTGTGAGCAAAATGAAATCTAAAGAAAGTACTTTCTGGAATGAGATGAGCCCTTTCTAGATGAGCCATATTTTTTGAATTTGAGCACGGGATGGCTATGGCTTGGCCTGATGTAAATGGAGAGACTGTGCTGATATAAGATAAACCAGGGGTGGTCTTCTTCTGACTGCTTGTCCAGCTGTAGAATGGTGGGGTCTGCAGATGTGCCCTAATACAGAGGTAAATATGTCAAACTGTCAGTCTTCTCCAGAGAGTTTTCTTGAGAGCATGGTTGTGTGATGTGTTGGGGACTATGCTGGAAAGCAGAGGGACATCTCCATAGTCTTGTGCTTAGAGACCAATGTACTAAAACAGGGATAGGCTATGAGATGTATAGCTTATAAGATTCTCTCAAGGACCTTGACTTCTTGTGTTCATACTTTGTATAATCTCTTCCCCTTGAATGTAGGCTGGACCTAGTAATTCGCCTCCAATAAATGTTGTTAGGTGCTGTGGGGTCAGTTCCGACTCATAGCAACCTTATGTCTGACAACAAAATGTCCAGTCCTGTGCCATCCTCACAATTGTTGTATGTTTGAATCCACTGTTGTAGCTGGCAAAATTAGTCGGATGTCATTTCTGAGATTGGAGTACAAAAAACAAAACTCTTTTATCTTCCTGGCACACTATTGCTTTCGCCCTTGCTCTGATGAAAGCCAGCTATGATATGTGAGCTGCCTGATGAGAGTCTCATGTGGCAAGGACCTGAGGGAAGCCTCTGGCCAGTGGCCACAAGGAACTAAATCCTGCCAACAGCCACATGAGT